GTTGCCACCAAAGCCACAAGAGGGCAGTTCTGGCTTCCTTCTTCAAGGACTTCTCTACCATTATTTTACAATATTTAAAACTGAAATAGCTGTTCACCAAACTTCAGGACTTATATTGTCCAGGGACAGTTAACCCTAAATGTAAAGTGTATCTAAGGATCATCAACAATGATTCATTTGATTGAAGACTATGGCAATTACTCTGCCTGTAAAATACCTGCTACACAATCATTAGGACTGGGTTTGGATCCCTAGCATGCCTTTAAAGCCTGGGCACATAGCTCTATGATCTGAGCACTGGGGCAGGGGAGAGGAGTCAAAAGGGGAGTGCCTAGAGCTCACTTGACAGAGAACTTAACTGATTCACTGAGATCTAAATGAGTCAGAGACTATCTCAAAAAATAAGCTGGAAAACTATTGAGGAAATCACCGATGTCTGCCTTTCACTTTCACATGCATGTACACACATATTTACACATTTATGAAAACATGTCCATATAGTCCAACACACACGCACGCACGCACGCACGCACGCACGCACGCACGCAGGAGCACATGTACACACACACCAAATACAAATTTAACAATGTATCTATATAAGCCATGCATCCATCCAATCATTAAATGCTAATCATATTTGATAATCTATACTAAATTTAAACTCTTATTCAATACAATACAGTTCTTTTTCAAAATGATACACTGTTCCTCTGTAACAAAGGAGGCCCTCCATCCTTTGCACTCCCAAGTAAAAGACAGTGTCATCTACAACCTCTTTCTTCATGACTAGGATGCTATGGGCCACCAAGTTAGTTCCATGCCAGGGAGAATATCATAAGTACAGGCTTAGGGGAGCATTCTAAAAAAGCCAGGAAAATCACAAACTGGTCTTCAAATTAGCAAATAGTTCTTGGCTCTCTGAGTTCACACTTCCACATACTCCTCTCTGCACCCAAAACTTTCCTATCGCCAGAGAGAAACAATGTGACATCCTTCCAGTTTCCTTTCTCTGACTGTTACCCATGTGCAGTCAGAAATATATCTGTTTTCTCTGTTTCCTCCTCCAGGTGCCCCAGTAGGCCTAGTATCGGGATCTGCATACAATTATGGGTCAGGAAAGGCTGGTTGGTAGTTGGTGTCCACCATCAACCTGAAATGCCTTCTCCCCCTAATTTTGGGTGCATGAGCATAAGGAATGCCTATGGTAAATTTGTATGGGTCCCTCACAGGTAGTTACAATAACAGCTAATGTTAAGCAGCTACGTATTCTGCATGTATGGTCTTAACGTGGTCTTCACTACTTCTCTGAGACACTATCCCTGTTTTGCCTCTGAGAACACCAGATAGCTGGAAAGAGATGTATCTTAATATTGAGCTATTTTCAAGCTTTGACTGGAAACCCTTCACTGTGTTTTCCTCCTATTATCCAGGGGTACCACCGACCCCGACACTACATTGCAACCCAAGGTAAGTGTCTTGGAGTGACCTCAAGGATATCTAGGAAGAGGGATTTTTTTAATCAGGGTAAGCTTTATTATCCACTTTTCCTCTCTCTGTTATCACAAAGCTCTTTCTCCACTAAATGGTCTGGCTTCTCCTGAAGAAAGGGGATGAACTTTCACAGACAGAGAAGCCAGAGACAGAGCAGCAAAGCCTCCAGAAGTCCTTGAGGAGCAAGGAGATGACAAGTTCAGCTTAGATTGGCAGCAGAAAGAGCTGTCACTAGAAAATATTAAGGGCAAAGAGGCCACATGTGGGGTAACCAGCAAAAAGCCTCAGCAGGTTACCCAACAGACATTCCCATCCCTTCAGTGAATGCAAGTCCACAAGAGAGATGCAGCCACTTGCCCTGGAAAGCAGTGTGGCAGTATGCTATCAGAAGGCTTAAAAATTATGATGCCTTTTAAAGCCTCCTGGAGGAAGTCCTGTAGATAATTATATGTGTGGACCTTGACATATATAAAAAGCATTCTTCACAATGTTATCGTGTCATCTGTAATAGGAAAAAGTGAAAAATCCTAAATGCCCAATAATAGACAGGTTGGTTAAATAACATATGGTGTCTCCATGTTTTAGAAACCTCTGTAGCTATGAAAAACACCACTTTTTGAGGATATGAAAAAGTACTTATAATAAACCTGGTGCTTATTGCAGAAAATGTATGTGTACACACAAAACACAGAAAAATATTATTCAAATTTTCTTTCAAATGTATGAATTGCTTTTGTAATTTTAAAATTGATGAAGACCCAGGATATTAGGAGTTGTTTCCTAGGAAATTGCTCTGGACTGCCAGATCCAATCTCCTACTCCTTGCTTTTCTGCCTTTTTCCTTTTTTTCTTTCTTTTTCATTTTCTGTGTTTTAATCCTCTCTCCTGGTCAAGCTTCAGATGAATGTCTCGGGCATTTGTCAAACTCAAAACTCGGGACCCTCTTGCTTTTGGCAGCTCCACCTCCCCCCACCCTAATTCCCTTGCTATCTCTCATTGAGATCCTGCTGTCCAGTTTTTGGAAAAACCCCTGGGACGTGATCTAAACTATAGTCCAGATAAAGTAGTGGATCATGAAAACATGGAGCTGCCGGGCTGATCATGAGGGTAAGGACAGGGGTGGGGAGGCTGCTGCAGACCACAGATACCGAAAATGCGTGGGTTTTTTCTTATCTGTGCTCTGTTCTGACCCTAACAGATTCATGCCTCCAGCCCAAGTCTCAGCTACTTGGTGTCCCACTCAGGCTCCCCTGGCCTCACTCTCACCCACCTGTGTCGAACTTTGATTAAACAGCTGAGAGACAAACCTTTGAACATCCCCTTTGTGCCCACAATCTCTAACCCTATCGCCTTCTCTGTTGGCAGGTCCAATGCAAGAGACCGTGAAGGACTTCTGGAGAATGATCTGGCAGGAAAACTCTGCCAGCATCGTCATGGTCACAAACCTTGTGGAAGTGGGCAGGGTAAGCCTCTCCTTCAGTTGTGTGGGCAGAGGGTGGTGGAGATGCACCCTGGTGTGCCTGGCACCTGCATTGGGCCACCAGCTTCCTAAGCAGTACCACACCCTTACAACAGCCTATAGGGATGGATGGGAGATACCATACTCCTACTTCACATTTGAGCAGTGTTCTCTTCCTTTAAGTCTCCCATCCCATTTCTATCTGCTCTCTCCACTGGTAATGTCATCTCATATATTTTGAGAAAATTAAAGCCATCAGATGGGAACTCTCTCACCAATACATCACAAGCCTATAATCTTATTTGTATCTGCAGCCATCTTCACACCCTTCCCTTCTGTTGTCAGGTCTAGCCATGAGAACGGGCTGTTTCTGTTGACTCCAAAAGGTTGACTATTGGCCATATCTTGTGACAAAGCCTAATATGACAAACACTACGTTTTTGCCCTTGGATAGGTGACCCTTGGGAAGATGCTTTCTGAGAGGTCACTGCAAGCCTTTGTCCACCTCCCCTCCTCATCTGTTAGCCCAACATTCTTCTTCCACCTAAAGAACCTGGTCCTCCCTGAAAGAAGAGAATGAACTTGCACTAGCAAAGAAGCCAGAAGGACAGAGCAGGAAGACAACCAGGAGTCCCTGAGAAGCAAGGAAGTGACACATTCAGCTTTGAAGGGAGGCGGGAGCGGGCTGTCACTAGGATAAATCATTAAGAGGGGAGGAGCCAGGCAGGGCAGATCAGAGGTATTAATATCCTCAGGTGCAACCCAATAAGACTCCGAGTTTTTCTCATATTCCCTTTTCATTTGAAATATAGGACTCCTCCTCATTGCTGAATTATTTCCCTCAGCATATGAATATGATCAGTAATTTCCATCTCAGAGGGACAAAACCCACCACCAAATGAGTCACAAAACAAAAACAAAAATCATGAACCTGCTAAACGGAGGGTGGAGATGGGGAGGATTGATAACAGTGATGGAAAGATAGGGGAGGAAGAGTAATCTGAATAAATTATATTTATGTACAAAATTGTCACACAACAAAATTAATGACTGTAAAATGATTAGAAACATTTTTAAAGCCAAACAACTGTACCTCCCCTGTTCCCACATTTCTCCTGAATCTCAAGGACTCACAGAGACTTTATGTCTCTGCTCAATTCTCCTCTCCCCACCTCAACATGGTAGGTCTCTCCCTTTCATCAGCAGTGATACTGTCAACATCACTCCCTTCATATGGACAAACGCAGGCTCAATGGCTCTCTCTTCATCTGTCTTCTCCTCTCATGGCATCTCACCCTCTACTACCCGCTCTTCCTCCTCTGACTATGAAACCTCATCAGGGTTCAGGCTTCCGTCTCTTTCTTTATTCTATCTAGATTGGGTCCTAAGTTGCCCTTAGCTAGAGCTTAGAAGTGGGACCACTGTTTCCAGCTTCGCTTTTGCCTTTGATTAACTGTGGCCTGTGGGTGGATGGGTGGGCTGCATTGTTGAAAGGCTGATGTACAAATATCTAGACTCAAAAGGCTCCCATACTGTATACAGACTATACATGGGTGGACAGGTGAAATTTATAGATAATCAGGATAAAGTGTCCTGGCCACAGAGATGGAGAAGATGAAGCTATCTTCTCTGTCATGTTGTACTGAAAGGGTGTGGACATCTCATTGCCTAATAGTGGGTCAGGGCCAAGTAAGACTTTATCTTTGCATGTTCACCTTTATCTGGCACATTCCCCAGTTTTACAGATGAGGCATGGGTGCAAATGGGTGAATACCTGAGTCAATCGACTCTAATCTCACTCTTGACTCTCATTCTAATACTTGTAATCCTGCTGTTCAGGCTGCTCTTGCTGTTCAGCTGCTTCCCCAGGGACTGAGACCCAGGCTGCAACTCCAGTGAGTAACAAGAGCAACCCAGGGTTTGAGAATTCCAGCCTGGTCCACAGCACATTCCACATTTTAAAACTAATTCTCCTGGTGATAGACTGTGGATTGAAACTGGTCTTGCAGGGGAGAGCAATTTCTTAATGAAACTCCTGCTAGTGGTCAACACACACACTACATTTTATTTATCTCACAATAATTTTACAAGGCAGTGTTCCTGGTTATGATACACACAATCTGGGCTTAGTTTTCACACCATCCCTTGTCAGCTGTTGACTTTAAACAGTTTTCTTGGCTTCTCCGTGTTTAAATCCTCATCTGTAAAATGTGGATTTAGTGCTATAGTGACATATAATTAAAATAATACATACAAGTAATTCATAAAACACTTAGTAGACAGGGCTAGACAAGGTAAGTATTGACTTTCATTAGCTACAGGAATCTAAGGCATTCTAGAAAGTTCTTAGGTCTAAAGTCTGAGAATCTAGCAATATTCTCCAAACCCTGTTGCAGTTTCAGTGTTTCCCTAAGTGGGTTCCATGGGATGCTAGTCTGCAGGATGGCTAGTGAAGAGAGGATTCCATGGTTAAATACGTTTGGGAAATGCTGTGTCCTCCGCCCCTGTTGGAGAGTCCTAAGATATTTAACTTTAGCATTTCTGAGGATCTAAGTCACATTTTAGCAAAGCAGTCTGTTTAACTTTGTTGAAACAGCATTTCCCAAACTCATTTGACCACAAAACCTTTTTGTGTTTGTTTTGTTTTTTTGTTTCTTGTTTTTTGTTTTTGTTTTGTTTTGTTTTGTTTACCTAACACCTATTAGCACCCAGCGGAACACACTGTGGGAAATGCCACGCTAGGCCGTGCGTCGTCCCCCGGAATGGTAATAACACTTTTGCTATTTTAAGGGGAAAAAAACCATGATTTCTTTTGCTCTCTGTGGAACTTAGAGTCAAATGTGGGAGCTGCTTGCTGGGAGCATAGGTACCCACCTCTGGGGCAGAAAGCAGTGGTGCATCTTCCCTTTGAGCTCAGGACTGTCTGTTTCTTCCCCAACTAAGAGCCTTTCTCCTTCCAGTCCCTAGTGACCGCCTCTTTATAAGGACCCTCTCCTAAACCCTTCTGCTTCTACCTCCTCTCTGTTTTCTACCTGAATTTCTCATCCTTGCTCAGATAATAAGGCTCAGCAGCCCCGTGCTGACACAGCAGGAAATGACCACGCCACCATCTCCAGTACTATTATTCATCGCCAAGTGGGGATGATATACTTCCCATCTTACCTAGTTCTTCCTGATGGCTTAGGGTAGCAAGGCACTGGAAAACCACCAGGAGCTGTAAAAGAAGGAACTGCTATTATTTTTAATGACCCCGGTGACTCTGGCAGAGAGTTAGGCCCTGTGCAATTTGCTGATCCCTGACCACTGAGCACCCCATGGGCAGAAATGCCACCAAAAATCACCCTTGGGTTTATGTGGATGGGAAAACCAAAGGAGTTGGCTTCTCATGCTTGGCACTCTGTTTATGCACTCTCCTTCCTGTCCTTTCCCTGTCTCTCACTTGGCCACAGGTAAAGTGTGTACGATACTGGCCAGATGACACAGAGGTCTATGGAGACATTAAAGTCACCCTAATTGAAACAGAGCCCCTGGCAGAATATGTCATCCGCACTTTCACCGTCCAGAAGGTAAGTTTTCCTTTCTGTGAGAAGCCCCTCTTCCAAGCCAGTTGGCTGGTCTACTCATCCAGACAGTGGAGACCAAGGGTATGAATTGTCCCTACTTCACACCTGCATGATAGACAGAATGGTAATCAGAGTAGATGTGGCTGTTACATTGGATTCATCAACTAGAGAGACCAACAGACTTCAACAGACAAATGCAATGGACTAAGGGATATATTGTGATAAGAGCCATAAGGGACTAACAGACAGACAGAGAATCTACAAGGGTACCACTACATACCCCTAGAGCCGGAGTAATTTGTAGAGTGGAGAAAATTAGGGCTGAGAAGGCTCCAGTCAAGGAAAGGATGGGAGGAATAATATCCTTGGCCAAGGGTCAAAAACATAGTACGGTGAGCAAAAAGACACCAGCATTTCCCAGGCTGGGATTCTAGTCTCAACCAGGGGCAATGTTGTCCACTGGTGGGTAGCTGTCACTGTCTGAAGACATGTGGGAACGCTGCAACTTGAGAGAAGGTATTTTGTTAATGACATCTAGCAGGAGGGGGCCAGTAGTGCTGCTAAACAATCCACAACACACATGATCAAGAACTATCCAGCCCAGCATGTCACATCCAGGACTTTATAGGTTTAGAGACACTGGTCCATACATTTGTGCTACAGCTGATACTCCCGAGGGCTAACCTCCAGGGTGAGTCAGCTCTTGCCACTTAAGGATGTACATTCAGGAAAAGGGAGAGCTGGGGTGAGCCAACCACCAACACTGTGTAGTCAAGGCCCCGTGAAGAGGGTCTGAATGAGCACCAATCTTCTCTACTGAGTCCCCAGTTAATGTTAAGAGCGTCTCTCTAAGTGAAGACTCCAACTGGGATGAACTGTAGCCTACAAGGCATGTTGAAGGAGTGGGGTCTTTTCTTGTCTTGTCTTTCTTTCTTCTTCTTCTTTTTTTTTTTTTTAATTCCTTTAAATAATCATAAAGGGACGAATTACCTATAGGAAACTTCACTTACAAGACCCCACGAATCTCTAAAGATGAACACCACAGCTTCTCCATGGTTTATGAACAGGCAATCAGTAGTCTATCGACATCAGCTTTAGCTCAGCATCCGTTCCTGAACTAGGAACTCTGGAACAGCAAACAGAAGTGTCCTCTGCTCCTGGAGTAAGCACAGCTCCACCAAGGGCAGCATAGCAGAGGTGGGGAGGCACAGGCCAGTGTTAGAGCTGTTCTGCCTCTCCTCCCCATCCCTGATTCAATCTGGCTTCCCCCACCCCCTTCTAGCCTTACTCTGCCTCTCATCTTGCCCCATTTTAGTTTGGATTTCCTGAAAGCAGAGCCCAAAGCAACTGGAATTTGAATGAATTGTGTACAGAAAAGAAGCTTGCAGGATGAGAGTTGGGGGCAGGACCTTTGTAGGCACCCCACTTCAGCCTGACCCCACGGGGTCCTGGGACAGGAATTTCTCCACAGGTATAAGGCTTGCTTACTGAGTCCCTAAGAGGATACCAGTCATTCTGGCTTGCCTAGAACATGCTGGGTTTATCACTGGAGGTCCACATACCAGGAAAGCCTTCCATTCTGGGCACACTGGACTATTGACTAAGCCAGTTAATACCTCAGCCCTTCTATCAGGCAGAGAAGACTAGCTATTCCCAGGGATGGGATGCAGGTCCAGCTGAGGGTTGTCTTCCCAGGAAGGGGAGTGTGAACTGTCTCCAAACGAGACACACAGGGGCTGAGGATGGTGTGCAAGCCCAAGAAGCAAGATTGGCTGGACAACAATACACACCCTGAACCCATCCTCCATAGAGCAGCCATTTGGGGGCCTTGATATCCTGGTACCCTTGAGATAAAGCCAGAGCTCTGGCTGGGGCTCTAGGCCTCCAGGCTTCACTGCCTCACATCCAACCCTGTCATCCCCCTACACTGCCCTCTGCATCCCCCTACACTGCCCTCTGCATCCCCCTACGCTGCCCTCTGCATCCCCCTACACTGCCTCTACATCCCCCTACACTGCCTCTGCATCCCTCTGGTCCTGACCTGGCTTCTTTGTGACTTTCTGCAGTGCTCTCTGTAACCTGTCCCCAAGATCTCAGGCATGCTGCCCCTTTGTGTCCTCCATGAGATAAGAAGGCTCATACACACATCAGCTTCATAATGATGAAGACTGTGGACAGCAGGGCCGTATGGGCAATCTTCAAACCATCCCCCTGCTGTTTAATAAACATTTTCTGAACCTTGTTTAGCTTCACTTTCCTTTCCTAAAATGTGGAGATAATGATAGGAGGCCTGATCCATGGATTAAATGAATAAATACATGGATGTGTTCAAAAGAGTGATGGGACATCACCAGTACTTAGTATAAATGCCAGCTTTTATTTTTACTATTGTATTCCCAGACCTCAGTCAAGGAGGCTTCTTCTAAGAAGCCTTCCCTAATTTCTCCTCTCCTCCAATCATGTTAGATAATTCCTTTGTACACTCTAGTCCAATTATCCACATAGGAGTCTTCCTCACACAGTGAGGCCATGAGCTGTTCCAGGACAGGAGCTGTGGCTTAAATCACCCTTTCATAGTGCCTAGCACATGTCCAGGAAAAGACGGCTCTTGGTGAGTATTACTTAACTTGAGATGAACAATAATGTAGAGATTTCCTAGTACCAGCTAGGAATTGCTCTGAATGTCTAAAGACATGCAAGCAAAATACTCATACACATAAAAATAAAAATAACTTAATTTTTTAAAGTCTTTTTAAATTTAATTTTATTTTATTTTACAATACCATTCAGTTCTACATATCAGCCACAGATTTCCTTGTTTTCCCCCCTCCTGCCCCCCTCCAGTCCCCCCCAGCCCACCCCCATTCCCATCTCCTCCAGGGCAAAGACTCCCCCGAGGACTGAGATCGACCTGGTAGACTCAGTCCAGGCAG